AAACTAACAAAAAAAAAAAAGACTGTATTTCCCTAATTTGTTACCAAGAAGGAATGAAGTGACTTGCACAGGGGCTGACAGAGGCTGGCTACACCTTTCTGTGGGACAGCAGTGTCTTCGCGCTGGACAGGCTTTGCCAGTTCTCAGGAGGACTCTCATCTGCTTTCTTCCTCTGTGCATCTCTGCTGTTTTGAGTACAGCTCCTCAACTCCATATATGATGATCTATAGACAGTTTACATGCTAACATCTCAGGATACCCAACTGAAATACAAAAAACAATACACTTCTACTCATTTGGAAAGCCTTGCACAGAAAAGGAGATAAAAAAATGTTGGTGTTTGTCTGTTAAACAAGGTAGGATTTCTGAGCTTAGTTTATATCTGAAGGATTCAGCTCCCATGGTTCAGGGATGATTACTGCTCAAGGCAGAATAGAAAATATTAATTTCTTTCAATCTATCAGTAATTTCAGGAGAAAAACAAGGTGCTTTGAATAACAAAGTCAGATCAGCTGTGACTCTGGGGAGGAAGGAAGGAAACGGGTGAAGAAGGTACATGTGGCTTTCATTGGCATAAATGTTAAGACTTCCCTAACTGAGAGGCGTTTACTCAGTGTTTGCAATATTCATTTCTTTTCCTTTTTTTCTTTTCTGTAAGCTTCTAATGGTTCATTTGAAAAGTCCTGGTGCAAAGGAAAGCAAATAATTTGAAAATAGAATTTCTGATTTGCATAGTATGGATCTAATATTGTGATATTAAATCCTGCCTTAAGTCATCAAGATTTCACTCTCATTTTACTACAGAACTTCAATAATAATATGTTTGTTTTAAAGAATCCCTCTCTTTGCTCACCACTGTTTCTTGCCCAGGCCATGTGGGTTGGATTGGAATCTTTCCTCTACAAGGTTGTTGATGTTAGGTGCCTTCAATTAAATTATTACCCATAGCAACCCTATGAACAATGTGTCTGAACCCTGCTCTATCCTGGCCATCCTTACCATCTCTGATTCGTTCGAGCTCCCCATTGTAGTGACTGTGACAATCCATCTTATTGAGGGTTTTCCAATCTTTAGCTGTCTTTCCACCACTCCAAGCATGATGTTCTTTTCTAAGGACTGATCCCTCCTAATAACATGCTCAAAGTATGTGAGATGAAAGTTCAATTCTCTTGCCTCCAAGAAGCACTATGGTTGTATCTTTTGCAAGATTTATTTGTTTGTACTTTTTCCATTCCATGGCATATTCAGCACTCTTCTCCAACACCACTCAAAGCATTGGTTCTTCTTCTGTCATCCTTATTCACTGTTCAACTTTCAGTTTACAAGGAAGAGATTTTAAATTACTTGGTAGTTCTATGACTCAGTTCCACCTCCTGTAAAAATAGTTGTATTATATCTTGGTCTCAGGATCATTATTAGGATTAAATGAAATAGTGTGGCAATGTTTGTTACAACATCTGGTACATGTAACATTTTCAATTTATATTCATTTCCTCCTGTCGTTCTTGATCTTTCTCCTTTCAGTACTAGAGATTTTTACTGCAAAGGATACAAACAGGACAGGAACATGAATTTAAGGTAAGAAGAACATAAGGAATTTTGTTACTAACAGTTTGTTCCTGATCCATGATTCTATGTGCTAGCATTTTTCTTTAATCTAATATTTCTTATCTAATCTCACCATGATTCAGTGACTACAGGGTAACTATGTCAGAAACAATAAGGTTGGCACACAATAGAGCAGGGTTCAGAGCTGTGGTATATAGGGTCATTATGAGTTGCAAATGACTCGACAACACATAACAAAATTCTCACAATAATTTTTTAAAGTGTATTTAAAAATTAGTTTTCTTTTGTTTTGCTCCTAATTACTGAACTTCCCAGATGAAATGTATCCTGTTCTATGGCTTCTATGGATTGCTCATCTTCTCTTTCAGACAAATATCCTTCATACAACATTTACAGTGCTGGATCTAATTTGTGACCGACTGGATTCCCAAAGGCAATGGTGTCACTCTGGAGACTAAGGTGCAGCTGATACAAGCTATGGTCTTTGCAATCACTTGCTATGCATCAGAGAGCTGGACAATGACTAGGCAGGATAGAAGGGGAATTGATGCCTTTGAGCTGTGGTGTTGGGGAAGAGTACTGAATATACCATGGACTGCTAAGAAAATGAAAACTTTTGTCCTAGAAAGGGTTAAACCAGGCTGCTTCTTGGAAGCAAGGATTCTGAAGCTTCGTCTAAAATACTTTGGACATGTGCAAGGAGGGACCAGTCCTTGGAGAAGGATGTCATGCTTGGGAGGGTGGAGGGACAACGCAGGAGAGGAAGACCCTCTGTGAGGTGGATTGATTCAGTGACTGGAGTAATTGGGGTGGGTGTATCAGAGACGGTGCGATTGGCACAGGACAGAGCAGGGATTAGGGCTGTTGTACAGAGGGTCACTATGACTCGCAGGCAACTTGATAGCACATAACAACAAAGTAACTAGTCTTTTTATAAAAGACTTGAGTTCTAGTTCTACCCTGCCATACACTAAGAGTGTGTAACCCATTAAGTCTTTGATCTTTATTAGAGTGAGTTCATTTCTTATTTAATAATGTAGCATCAGATGATCCATCTGGCCTTAAAATTTAATCAGTTGTTCTTGATTGTGTGTGTTGTGTACTTCAGAGTCAGAACTGACTGCTAGCTGAATCTCCAGGGGGGTTTCAGAGACAGTGAGTCAAACAGGAGGGGAATGCCAATCTTTTTTTCCAGGGAGTGGCTGGTGGATTTGAATAACATGCCTTTGAGTTGGCAGCAAAACTCCTCTTCACTAAGCCACTAGAACTCTTCTGGTAATTATCTCATGTGAAAATCTTAAAGTAGGCAACACCACCTTCAGTGGGAAACACCTTTTGTGTGTTGTTTGTGAAAACTACACACATATTGAAGGTTTCTTCTGAACTCTAGGCAGGGGACCTGGTACTTGCCCTGTCACTGCCTGGCATGCTCTCAGAGCTGTATGGTGGCACTCCCAAGGGTGCCAGCTCTGAAAAGAGGAGTCACAAAGAGAGAAAAGGGGTAAAGTCTTCAGTGCTAGAATTACTTCCTACATTTCTTCTTAAGATGAGTGGGAAAAACTGCATCAGACTTTTGCAATCTAGTAATTATTTTTAGGATGATACTTAAAAAACACAACTAAAATTCAAACTCATTGCTGTCAAGTCAGAACCAATCCATAGCTGCCCTCTGTTAGGTTTCCCAGGCTATAAAACACAGAAGATTGCTCATCTTTCTCCCAAGGGACAGTTAGAAGATGATGATGCCAGCAGAGGAAAGAAGAGGAAACGGACCTCTGACAAGAAAAAAGTAAGAGTAATTTTTAGAGTTGAGTCTGGGAAATTAGAACATTTATGGGGGTGTCAGGAAAATAGGGCCTGTACTATATTTTCATACAGGTGCAATCTGGGTGGAGGGCATGGAGGGCAGAAGCAGAAGCATGAAGGAGCACACAGAAGAGGGACTGTGCCTGTACACGTTGACACTAATTACATTTTATTATGTTACGGCTTCCTCCTTCCTTTCCTGCTCCTTTGTGTTGTCCTGGCTCTCTGCAGCTGTGTTGTCAAGTCCCTACACTGGCTCCATCACCTCCTCCTCTGGGACAAGCACATTAACTTGATTTTTTTCTTGTACTATTTCTGAATTGTGCACAATTATAAAAAGGTGGCCTTATCTTAGAATTTTGTATAGATTTCCCTTTCCCTCCTCTTTCTATCCATAATCCTTTAAAGAGAGAGTTCTACAGGTCTGTCAGGACTTCTTGTTTGCACATAGGAGTTGATGTTTTTGGTTGTGTGTCCCCCCCCCCCAAATGGAGCCCTTGTGGCACAGTGGTTAAAGTGCCAGACACTAACCAAATGTGGGCAGTTTTATGCCATACAGATGTATGGCCTAGGAAATCATTTGTGTGTGAGGCACTTCTACTCTGTCATGTGGGGATACTATGAGATGGAATCCATGACACTGGGCTTGGTTTCAAGATATTTTTCAAAGCACTTTTGTATCTAGTATCTTCAAGTTGTCAGGAGAGGCCATTCCTTAGAAAAGGACATCATGTTGGGAAGTAGAGGGTCAGAGAAAGAGTGGAAAACTTCAGCACTAGAGATTGCCATATGACCGAAACAATGTGCTTGGGCATGAGGGAAATTGTGAGGCTGGTACAGCAAAGGTTGAGGTTCAAATCTGTTGTTCATAGAGTTGCTATGAATGTCGACTAGACGGAATCTAACAAACTGTGGTGCTGGAGAAGAGTACTGTTTGAGAACAGGTTTGTCCTGGAGAGGGTGAAACCAGTTTGCTCCTAGAAGGCAAAAATTTTGATGCTTCATCTTACATACTTTGGACATATTGTCAGGAAGAGCCAGTTCTTGGAGGACATCATACTTGGAAGGGTGGAAGATAAGCAAAGAAGGCAGCTCTGGATGAGATGGATCGACACAGTGACTGCGGCAACGGAGTCAGGTGAGGTTGATTCAGGAAAAGGGCTTGGATCTATTGTTCATGAGGATCATAGTCCATTTGACACCTCACTCGAATAACAGCATCTCCAAATAACTGGAAGGAGTTGGAAATGTCCTTGAATTATTCCAACAGGAACACTTATTTAGTCATGTGGTTGTTGTGTGTCATCAAGTTAGAACCGACCCACAGCTGACTCTCTGGAGAATTTGCAGAGGCAGAAAATCTCACAGGAGGAGCTTGCCCATCTTTCTCCTATGCAGGAGCTGGTGGGTTCCAGCTGCATGCCTTTGGGATTGCAGCACAGCTTCTCAACACTAGGCTACCAGATCTCCCTACTTAGTCGTAGAACGCTAAACAATTTGGGGCGTTTCACACAGTTATCTCAGGCTACAGACCAGAACAGGAGCCTGGAGAAGAGGCCACATGACTCCCGCAGGCACCAGGACAAGGTCCCGCCCGCCCGCCATCAAGCATGCGCACACGCTACCTGTAGGTACTGGCAGGACCGCTCCTGCTGGCGCGCCTCGGCCTTCACCAGGGCCTGGTCCACGTTGACCGCGGCCTTCTGATACACCTCGCGCGCGCGGCTGACGGTGAGCGTAGACGACCAGGCGCTCTTCTTCAGCAGCGGGGCGTCCAGGCTGACGGGCAGGTTGGCACAGGTGGAGCACTTGACATCGTTGTTGCTCCGCGAGGCCTTGACAGCCTGCTCGCTGACGGTATTGTAGGCCTCCACGAAGTACTGCGAGGCCGAGCGGTCGGGGCAGCGGCCCACCGTCATGACGCCGGACGGCGCATGGTAGATGCACACGTCCCCGTCCAGATTGTCGTCCGAGCTCCACCAGCTGGGGGCGCGCGCTTTGGGTTCGGCGCGCCGCTCCTTGCTCTTGCCTCGCTTGCTGTACCTCATGGTCTGGGTGTCGTCGGGGCTGGCTTTGCCCCCGTTGACGCTGCCCTTGGACGGCCCCTCCAGCGAGTGGGATTTGGTGAAGAGCTTCTGGACCGAGTGGACCAGGTGGCGGATGCGCCCAGGGCTGTCGCTGCGGTGCTCCACCGCTGTGCGCTTGTACTGCAGCGTGTGGTACCCATCCCGGTTGAGGGGCAGCTGCCGCTCGAACTGGTCCAGGAGGTTGGGCGGCAGGCGGTTGGCCTTGGCGGCCAGGGTGCGGGGCACCAGGGCGCACTCGTCCTTGAGCTCCTGCTGCGATGTGTAGTGGCGCCGCGGGAAGGTGCTGCTGGCCAGCGGATCGCTGAAAGGGCCCACACACTCGGCCTGGAAGGAGTTGCGCTGCGTGTAGTACGGGTGGTCGGCCGGGTGGTGGTCCACGGGGCTCAACAGGTAGGGCTTGCGGTCTGAGTGGTGCGACAGTGAATCGCAGGTGGAATCACAGGTGACTCCGTGGTGATGGCTGCGGCTGCCCGATAAGCCTTTCATTGCTGATGGGCAGCAGCTGCCAGGGTCATCAACGCCCCGTGGTCAGGTTCCAGAGCCCTCTCCAGCAAAGACCTGGGGACGAAGAAAAAGAGGACAAGGTTAACATTTCCGTGGGAAAGCTGACACAGCCCCTCCTAGGTGTACTGTCTGCTAATTGCGTCCCTTGCCTGGCAATGCGGGGACTTCACCTCTGTGGCGTGTCCCCGCCGACTCCAGAGCTTAGCTGGGAAGGTAAGTGCAACAGCTATTAAACTTGGCAGAGAAGGCCGCAAAAACACTGTTGTTTTAAAATCATTTGAAAGAGTGGCTCTTCTTTCCCATGATCACTGCATGTCTCTTTCTCTGACTTCCCTGGTTTTATGCTTAGCTGCATGAGCTCTGTGCTGTTAACCCAAAGGTATGTAGTTCAAATCCACCGGCAGCATCAAGGAAGAAATATGGGCAGACTCCTGTCTTGTGAAAGCCTCTGAAAACCACTGTAGGGTCAGCTATGAATTGATTCCTACTCAAAGATACATAACAACAACAGAGGCTCAAGTTCTTTCTTGGATGCTTGGCCAGTCACTTGCCAGATGGAACCAGTTCCCTTCCTGCCTTCCATAGCATTCACTGCAGACTCTGGCGGCAGAATTGTTTGCTTCCGACTATCTTCTAGCTCACATTCCTTGATGGCTGGGCTACACCTAGTAAGCTTTGCTACTGACAGGTTGGCATTCTGAGTTCACCAGGTCTGGCACTTCCTTAAAAAGTTGGAAATACAAAAAACATTTGATCTGGTTATCCCACTACTGGGAACACACCACAAAGAAATCAAAGCTGTGACACAAACAAAAATGTTCACAGCCATTATCACCACATTATTCACAATAGCAAAGAAATGGAAACAGCCCAGGTGCTCACCAACAATTGAATGGATAGAGAAACTATGCTTCATTCGCACAATAGAATACTATCCAGCATTGAAAAATAATGAACTCATAAAACACTGCATAATGTGGATAAGTCTGTAAGACGTTGTTGTTAGGTGCCGTTGAGTCAAGTACAACTCATAGTGACCCTATGAATGAAAGATCTGAACCCTGTTCTATCCTGGCCCATCCTCACACTTTCTGACACACAAGAGCCCACTGCAGCAGTCACCTTGTCAGTCCACCTAGTTGAGGGTCGTTCTCTCTTTCACCAGCCCTCCACCCTTGCCAGCATCATGTCTTTCTTCAAGGAAGAGCTCCTCCTAGCAATGTGCCACAAGTATGTGAGGCGAAGCCTCATCATTTTTGCCTCCAGAGAGCACTCTGGCTGCACTCTCTCCAAGACGTATCTCTTTGTTCTCTTGGCCTTTTGTGGGAAGTTCTATGCTCTTCTCCAGACCACAGCTCAAAGGCATAAATTCTTTTCCTGTCTGAGTGAACTATCTCAGTCACAAAGGAACTGGATAAGCCCATTATTGTAATGATAGGTTCAAGATGGGTTGAAGGGGGAGAGCAGAAAAGAATGGACAAATAAGAAACACTACATTGGTGTAAGGAAGGACATTCTGAAAGGAATGGACAATTAAAAACCATATATATTACAATAGCCTTAGAAGGGAAGTTGGGGGAGGAGGTGGGAGGAAATTGTGCATGAATGAAAACATAAAAAGCAAAATAACCATCAACCAAAAAAAGCAGTCTTATATGCTTAGAACTGAAAAAAATTATTCATAGCAGTTTTCAAGAACTTACTTCATGGAAACAGATTGCTAGGCTTTTCTTTTGAGGCACCTCAGTGTGGATTGAAGCTTTCAGCTTTCTGGCTAGCTGCTGAGTGTTTGCACTGCCTGAGGTCTCCGTGCTCTTAATATTGTCACTTAGTTGATTCTTTCTCTTGGGCACTCTGTGTGTGTCACTATAGAACTATGCGCCATTTAATTTCCTAGGCTGTAACAAAACAACAAACTTCTGGCTAATAACATCCAGGAGGCTGGTCTTTATGAAGAAGAATGTGGCATTAGAACTGGAGGAGGACTTATCAACAGCTTGTGTTATGCAGATGACACAACCTTGCTCACTGACTAGGGTGCTCCTGATGTAGGCCATAGTCTTTCCAATTACTTGCTGTGCATCAGAGATCTGGACAGTGAATAAGGATGATGTGAAGAAGAATTGATGATTTTGAATTGTAGTGTTGGAGAAAAGTATTGAACATACCATGGATTACCAAGAGAACAAACAGGTCTGTTTTGGAGAGGGTGAAAACAAGTTTCTTCTTGGAGGCAAGGATTTTGAAGCTCCTTGGAGAAGGATATCATGTTTGGAAGGGTGGTGGGACAGCACAGGAGAGGAATATCCTGGATGAGATGGGTTGACACAGTGACTGGGGCAATAGGAGCAGATGTGATGGATAGAGTGAGATATGCTCAGGATAACCCAGGGTTGAGAGCTACTGTACATAGGGTTGCTCTGAATTGTAGGCATGTAACAACAAACAGCAAAAATTCTTTTGTGCCACCTGAGAACTCCCAGGACTCTCTAAGAGACTTAAGTTTTTAAGCAAGATTGTGGCAACAAACTAATTGAGATGGAAAAATCCATTATATCAGAATGTCTCTTTTAGGAAGGAGGACCTTTCCAAATTGAATTTGAAAATAAAAAAAGACAGTAATCCAGTAAGATTAATCATATGTTTTATGATGATAAATAATTGAATATGAATATATAAAATAATATGACACAATGCTTCAGACTTTTCTTATCAAGCTGGGTCTTGTGAAGATTTTTTTCTGCTAAATAAAAAATGTGAAACTGGCAGGAGATGAAAATATGAATTATACATATTTACTCTCAACTATACAGGATTTTTAAATTATATATTCAATATTTAATTATCTTAATATGCACACAGCATTTCCTATAAAATGGTATTACCTACTGATAAGCAAAGCAAATGAAGAGCCTTATTAAGCCCATTAATAATGAATTAGAGGATGATAACATTTGTAAATTAAACATAATATGATTTTTGCTAAAATAAAAACTGGCTGTTCTGTACAGTAAATCCCTAGGTTACAAACATCTGATTTACTGAAAAATTTTACTTGTCCTTCAATGTTATGTAAATTTGTCCTCTCTTTGAAAAGATCAAGCCAATCCCTATTTGAAACAAATTCTTTTTCAGAATTACCTTCCATTGCTGCATATGCAGCTTTTAAATCTTTGAAAGGTTTTGATTTTAATTCCCTTGCACTATAAAAGGTTAAGACAGAGCCATATGCACCTGTTGTGATTAAGCTACAAATCTGACTTAAAGACATAATTCGAGATAGATCACATTCAGAACCTGGTGACTGCCTACAGGGATAAGAACATCTGTGTTCTTAAGAGGACAGTAAATTGCATTAAGGGGGGGAAAAAGAACTTTCCTCCTTAAACCTTGTGAAATGTTACTAAGATCTCTCTTTTTTCCTTCTGTGGTATGATAGTGGTGGTCCTTAGGTGCTGTTGAATCTAGGACAATTCATAGCAACCCTGTGAACAACAGACTTGAATCCCATCCTGTCATAAGTCAAAGTGTTTTGTTCTGTTGTGCACAAGGTCACTGAGTTGGTACTGATTTGACAGCACTGATGGACACCCCTTCCTCCTGGGACCTGTAGGTACAGGTAAGAACTGTACATTCCTTATGTGCAGGATCTGGTGCTGGCTGCTGCTGAGGAAAATGACCAAAAGCATGTAGCAAACCCTCAATGGCCAAAAAGCTTACTATGAGCATAGAGAAGCATAACGTAGTCACAACAGAAGGGATGAATAACTACTTTCATTTATTATGCATTTTTGAAGAAGGAAGTTGCCAGCTGCCCCATAATTGGATTTGCAGTGGCTGTAAAATATTTCTTAAAATAGTGAGGGAAATTGCTTTTCATGCCTTACTCATTGAGCAAGATTAGGAGTGTAGGTCAACATGGTTGTACGAAATCTCTCTCTAGGATGTGAGAAAAAGATGGAAAATCTCCTGTGTTATTTAGGGCCTCTGAAAACCCATGGTGGGTCATCTACGGGTTGGTTCCTACCGGTTGATATCCAACAAAAACAACTAACTAAAACACTCATCTCTCATATTCCTTTGCTCAGTATGGCTTCAAAATGCTATTTTGTACCTCTTAAGTCCAATCCAATTCAACCATTAGCCTGAATGTTCTTAATTTGGATTTGGAAACTTTGTTGACTTATTGTTGATCATGTGGTCCTCTCACAGTGTGAGACACACTCTTTTCAGAGTCCCATGCCTATCATCGCTATACAGCTAACAACTACAGCAAGAATGGCCATGCTCCAAAAAGGAGATACTCAGGGTAGTCCATTTATTAGTCTTAAGGGGAAAATCAAATAACCACACATTAGAAGATGCTGATAAGAGGAATACAGCCTTGTGAAGTTCTTGATTTAATTTTTATTTCTATGTATGTCATTATTAAAGCTATTGTCTTTGATGTTTCTTTACTTGCAGGTAAGAGTCTATTGAAAACATTGGACTGACTCACTTCAACAAGATTGTCTCCAGGCAATCATGACTTGATTTAGAAATAACAATAAGGTGGACTCTACTCAACAAAACTTCCTCTACTTTGGGGACATAAAGCTTCTCAATCTGCCTGTACCCTGTCTCTGTCAGGTTATAACACAGTGGAAAAGAAACAAAGATTTTCTTCTGAAAAGGGCAAAGCAGTCCTAAAATAAAGACTACATTATCCATCCTTTTTAGAAATAGATATGTCACTAATTTTGGTCAAGAGAGTGTAGGTGGAAACGGCATGAGCAATTTCTGGAAAGATCTGTAGAGTGAGGCGCATCAGCTCCTCACCTTCCTTCTGGTTAGAATGTAGACTTAAGACTGGTGGGCAGTGGTCCTGTACTGTGATGTGGTGGAAGTTCTATGTTGAGAACGGGACAGCTGCAGAGACCTGACCATGTGGAGTATTGGCCAGAACTGAGGACTTCTGCATCTTGTTTATGTGAGAGAAAAAGATGAGACATTTTTCTTGTCTAAGGCACTGCAATTTCGCTTCTTGCCATTTCATTTTC